GCAAGATTAGCCAGAGCCTCACAATCCGCAATCTGCTTAGTGATAAAAGACACAATTGCTCCGAAAAGGACAACTGCAGGGACCGCCCTTCGGGTGGGGCTTTGCAGGGAGCTTTGCGTGATGCATGTCCATAGGTGACACCACAGCCTGGGCTCAGATAAGGGACCCTGAGATTCCAAGGAGGAAGTGTGAGTGCCTAAGACCTGCAAACCGTCTGCCCCCTTAACTCCCACAAGGAAGCACCTGGTGGGAGGAGCGGCTGTGTGGGTGGTCACACTCTCCCTGCACACTGAAGCAAGCGGACACCAGGGCTTTGGGCCTTTCCCAGGGGCAAGGAATGCTTGGAAGAAGCTTTAACTTTAGAAGCCACAGCTTTGCAGCTGCTCCCAGTAGCAGTGTAGGGCGCTACTCCTAAAGCAATCATTATAAGCTTCCAGGTTGGCTTATAGAGTATTTTCAACTGTTCCATTTGTTCTGGAACAAATGAAAATATTTATTGGGAATCTTATAAACTTGGCAAATACTAATAATATCACCTTGAAAGCTGTCTGTGGCGCCCTTGGTGGCTTTCTGGTACTCTCCAGGCAAACTGGGGGTAGTTGGTCCTCCACATGTGCACTCCTCGCTTTTCCTATGAAGGCAGCTTACTGTAGGGTGGCAAGCCTGCTAAAGCAGAGGAAGAAGAAAAAAGACTAGGTTGATTTTTGAACAGAGAGATGAGCTGTGCATTTAGCTCAGCGATAGAATCCTTACCTGGCATGCCCAAGGCCCAGGGTCAGTGGACAGTATCTGAGAAACTGCTGCTTGGAGCTTAAAGGAACAGAGGAAAGTTTGGTAATGAACAGTAAATTTTCTTTTAAGCCTGGTGGCTAGCAATCTTGCTTATTAGTTCTTGGCAGAATGGAGTCCCTTCCAGGTCTAGAGTAATGGAAGTGTTACCGCAGAGGTCTTCTGCAACACCAGGGCCCACCAGGGAAGTTAGAACTGTGTGTCCCACCAAGCCTGTTACTGTTGTTAGTTTGTTTTGATGGTATTGGGCCTCAGGCCCAGGGATTCTCTGTCACTGAGTTACATCCCTGTCCCTTTTTTATTTATTTTGAGAATGAGTCTCACTAAGCCACTGTTGTCCAGGCTGGGTTTGAACCTGTGATCCTCCTACTTCAGTCTTCTCAAGCAGCTGGGCTTATAGGAGTGTACCACCTGGCCTGGTTCACATGGTATTTCTCCCCCTAAAACGTAAGCTGTACTCTTGTGTTTTAATTTTATTTTTAAATTATGTCTCTTAATCAAACATCTACCAAAGTGTACATTAAATAATGGAGCCAAACCAAAATGATTATCAGTAGCGTTCAGCACTGACAAATCAATTCTGTACAGCTGCTCTCCTGTATTTATGATAAGAATTGTTTTCTTCTAGAATTTTAAAAAATACCACATGCACATATCTTTGTATGTAAAATAGCAGTAAGGTACTTTGATATGGGGTCAGATTTTAGGATTTGCATATAGTAACTAATTAACAGCGACTGTGGTATCATCCTAAGGGAAAGGTCTACTGGCAACTTATTATCTTCTATTATTGTATATCATATTAAAATGACAGACATCTTACAATATACAAGTCATCAAAATTTCAGTGATTAGAACCAAAAGTAATTTAGCAAAAGCTGTTTCTACCTTCATGATGAAGTGAAATTTATCCAAAGGGGACATCAGTTTAGAGAGTGTTTGTTCAATATCTCCCTTGAATTTAATAGCATGAAGATTACGTGTAAGAGAGCAATAAATTAATTTTACTAAGTGCATAAAAGACAAGGACAGCTGCTCCTGAAATGAGCACAGAGTCTGCATTCCATGATGGAAATATAATTGCATTTGTGATACATTGTAAGAAAGTCACAGGTCTATGTGCTATTTCAGGAAAAATCAACCATCTTCCTGTACAGCTGTACAATCCAATAAATTATCCTTGAAAGAAACATTATTGGGTGGCTGGGGAGATGGCTCAATGCTCTAAGTGCCTGCCTGGCAAGCCTAAGGACCTGGGTTCGATCCCCGGTATCACATGCCACACCAGCCCTGTGCAGAGCCAGCCACTGCTCTGTTTGGGCATGGTGGCACACACCCCAGTGCTTGGGAGGCTAAGACAGGATGATCACTAAGTCCAAGCTGTGTAGTAAGACCCTTTACCAAATAGACAGATAGCCCCCATTTAATTTAGCATGTAAATAAAAGTATGTCTGTAAAGTTGTTGGGATACCAATTGATTTCCCGTGGTCCACTCACTAAGGGCCTCTTCCTAGGGATATGATACTATCAAACTGATTCTCACATGTGAAATTCTCCTGTCCCAACTTATTATAGAACTATTGGCCCCACACACACCTCTCTGTATTTCACTTTGAGACCGTGTCTTGCTAAGTTGCCTGGAGCTTGCCTCCCTCCCCAGTAGCTGGGATGGCCACCCCACAGTGCTATTTACTTAATACCAGGTGAGTATCATATATTTGTGCTATATTTTAGTATAGTATCCCCATTTAAGGGTGTAACCCAGTGATCTTTATTCAAATGTACTCTCACATATTAAGCTATACCCAAAGTGTTGAGCTGGTCCCAAGCTTAAATTAGTAGTATTGTTCCAACTAGGATTATTTCTTGGTGATCACAGAAGTAGGAGGCCCCTTACTGTCCTGCTCTGGGCTTACTGTCTGCTGCCTTGGCTAGCAATGGTGGTCATGGGGCAGGGATACTACCTGGATCGCCCAAGGTCTTCTTGGCTCACCAGTTCTGCACTGGCCAGCTCTCGCCTGACCCTGGTTTCACTGCCCACAGCCTCGTCCTCAGTTCTTCCTGCTCCCTCCCACTCCCTCATCAAGCCCACTTGTCCCTGTACGATCTGTTATTACAGGTTCATGATCCTTATCGGAAGTGCTGGGAACTAGGAACATTTTGAATTTCAGATTTTTTCTTAGATTCTGGAATATTTGTACATCTGTACTGAGATCTGGGGCCATGGGATCAAAATTTAAACGTGAATGTCATTGATATTTTATACTGCACACTTTATGCACATAGCCTGGTGATAATTTAATGCAGTACGTTTAGCGAGTTTATGCTTTGACAGTAAGCTGTCACATGAGGTCATGTGTGGACTCTTCCTTCTTATGGAGTCACTTTGGCATTCAAAACTTCAGATTTTGGAGCAATTTGCATTTCAGATTTTTAAAAAGTTTTATTTATTTATTTGGTACAGGGTCTTACTATGCAGCTCGGACTCAGTGATCCTCCTGTCTCAGCCTCCCCAGCGCTGGGATCACAGAGTGCGCTACCATGCCCGGTTTCAGTGGCTGGCTCTGCACAGGGCCAGCGTGGCATGTGGTACCAGGGTTCAAACCCAGGCCTTTGCACCACCAAGTTTTCTCCCTGGCCCTGGTTTTCAGACTTTTAAATTTATGGATATCACCCTGTATTTTTACCTGAACTGTTAAGACTTGGGCAAGCTTTTAAAAATTTAGAGTTTAGGCACTGCTCTTAAGTAGGAACATCCTTTCTGAAGTGTGATGTTCCTCTAAATGAGAGCTGCAAGCTGAGCAGCAGGGTGACAGCCTGTGCTGTCTTCCAGCCCCGGCTGAGGCTGCCTGGCACTCATTTCAAGCGTTTCACCCATTTTCAAATAGAATGCAAAGGAGCCCTTAGAATGCTTGATGTTTGAATTAGGGTTTAAGTGCCAGCCTGCCGAAGGACAGTGTGGTGCTTGGTGCAGGAGCTTTCCTAGAACACACGTTAACCGTGGCTTTTTCATGCATAGTTGACTCTCTGTGAGCTGATTGACACCTTTGGGGGTCGTCTTTCCACTGACTCATAATTTTTCTCACTCTCAAAAAAAGGTTTCTGTACACCCAGTATTCTCTAGTTAAAGCTGAAAATTCAACTCATCATATTTACACAATAAAAAAAAAATCCATTCTGCCTTGTTTTTAATTGCAAATTCTACTCAGGGGACTAGTTCTCCTGCTTAGGAGGCAGCCCCGCGCCTTCTCCTGGAGATTCAAGCACAGTCAATTATGGTAATGAAATGTCAATAAATATAAAAATTTAATACAGCCTGCTCTGGGTGAGTGGCAGATGAGGACTTGCCTTCCAGACAAATTTGCTGCTGCTGCAAATATTAAATGCACCTAAAAGAGTATCTGGTTGCCTGAGAGCTCTCCAGGAAAATAAGGATGAGAGGGAGCATGAGGTAGCAGCCCCGGTTTCCCATTACGCTACAAATGCAGCTGCAAAGCGGTGCTACCGCTGACAGCCACCCCAACATCTTAACTTATTATTATAAATGCAGCCTCTGTGTCCCCATGAATAACCTCACATGGGGGCCTGACAGCGTTTGTTTGAGAAAAGGAAGATCAGCCTTTTCTTATTCTTCTTATAACCTCTTTGCTGTGGTTAGAGGGAGATGTATGAATTTGATGGACTTGGATGTAATCAACTGAAGCTAGCAATTTTCTATTACAGCTTTTAAGGAAGAAGCAGACTAAAGAATGCTTCAAATGGGATTCTTTGGGCGTCCCCAAGTCCTTGCACCATGACTGTGTTCAAGGGTAGCCTCGTAACACAGGGATATAGCCCTGCCTGTTTTCCTCATGTACTGTTTAGTGTCACTGTGTACAAGCACAATGATGTCCTGGGTTCACTTTTTGTGGACAGTTTCTTTTCTAGCAATGTAAATTTATCTAATAAAAATGTTTAGTGCCTAGAATGCCTAAATTTCAGCAATCAAACCCATTCCCTGCAGAGCTCATCACATGATTAGGTTTATCAGAATAATTGCGGTGCATATTGTGTTAAGAGAATGTATTGGAAATGCCTCACCAGAGGTAAACCCTCCTCTGTTAAAAATCTGTATTGCAGCTCAACTGTACCGATTGTAATCTCAAGCGCAACGTGCAGTGTGTATCTCCGATTCTGACACTGGTTGTTGTAATCATGATTCTGTGTTGCAGGTGGAGTATTCTATAATAGCATCACAAGCTGGCGCCACCCTCAACAACCTCATATGTCATGCGCAGGAGCTAGTGGCAAAACTTCGGTCCCTGCAGCTTGATCAGCGAGAGTTCGTGTGTCTAAAGTTCTTGGTGCTCTTTAGTTTAGGTAAGAAATGTTGTTCTCCTACTGAGTCCAACCAAACTTTTCTAAATGGGGCCACGTATCAGTGCCTTGGCATTGGCAGTTATGCTTTTGTTCTATCAAGATAAAGCCCTTGCTTTCAAATCATGAAATCTTCAAACATGAATGTATCCTCCTAGGTATGTCTACAGGATTCCTAGCCTTTCAGGGGATAGGCTATGCTGTGTGGATAGGAAATTACTTCATTTGGAGTCCTGGATATCATTTTTTAAGAGGCAGGTAAGCAACAGTCAAAGTAAATGTAGGACCAAAGATGAGCTAGGATAGTATAGGGACAATGTATGGTATTCAATTTCAGCCGTCTTTCTGCCATTGATTTTCTGTGTGCCTTTTGTTTCCGCCTGCTACCTTCTGCTGCTTTTATTCTTCTAAAATATGGATAGTAATTAAAAGCCTGTATTTAAAAATCTCTATCAGGATTAACTAGAGCATGTTTATAACCAGATACACCCCAATGAAAGTATAAAAGATGACAGTTGTCAAGAGGAAAGATGCTTCTTTAGCAGAGCTTTAGAGAAGAAAGATAACTAAGCAAGACAGATTAGCTAAATCAAGGTTCTCAGTGAGCCAGTGGAGAAAAATCACCACTGCTTGGAATAAAAAAAGGATTAAGGAGATGGATTTTTATTGACTTCAAAGGAACAGATTTTTCTGCCTGTCCCTTACTTGATTTCTGTATTTTGTTGGCTTAATAAAGCCAACTTAAATAAACTTTTTGCCAAGTGCATTTATTCTTCATTGGCAGGCAGCTGAGGGAGGCAACTTCTCTTGAGTGAAAAAAATTGCAGAAATCAGATTTACCAACATATGTTTTTTCTTTAGTCTTCAGTTATAAGATAGTTGCAAATTCATATCCTAAGAAATAAAACACACTGCAAAGTAAAACAGATGTGTCTGCTCTCTAAATTGGGCACTTTAGATTAAAAATTCCTCTTGACAGCACAGCACAACTGTTGCTAATAAAGGAATAGTTTGAAGTAATAGAAACAGAGCTAATTTTTCACATCTAGTCAACATTTAAAATAAAAAGAGCATTTTCATATTTTGGAAAGTGTGATAAATATAGCAAGAAAAAATGTCACTGCAAATTTAAAAAGACAACAGGACTTTATAGATGTGGTGTTCAAAAGTTTGTGGTGCCAGGACTGGGATCCTCTATGCTTTCTGCACTCGCCACGATCAGAACAGTTCCATTCAAATAAGCCTGTGATGCAGCACCACTTTTAACAAGTCCAGAGTAAGACAGCGCGGGCCTGCATGCCGGAATCTCGCCATCATTCTGCTTTATGGCAAATCTTAGCCTTTTCAACTGGTATATTTGCTCAGTAATTAAATGGAAAATGGGGTAATATATGTGTCAGAAATCTTATAGCATCTTAGTGATAAAATATTTAGAGAGCGTCATCTCACTTCAAAGGTATTTTAAATGAGCTAAGCAGCTGTGTGATATTTGAAGATGTACACATTAAGCACAAGCCATCTTTAGTTCTCATCACTTTTATGCTGGCTTTCACCAGTTCTCAGAATTATGATGTTCTCTGCCGACTGGGGGTGGATCTGATAGGTGTGCAAGCTTTGAACTTAGCAAATTATCTTTGGCATTTCCCTCACCTCAGTCACACACTCTCACTTAAGAAGTGCGGTGACTGCTTCACCGTGTAGGGTATCAGCGGCCTGTATGTCTGCTGGTCCGTCCCTCCCTCCCTCTTTGGTGTTTCTTGTGTGTGGTTCTGGGGATCAAACCCAAAGCCTCACAAATCCTGAGTACATCGTCTATCACCAAGCTACATCCTACACTTTCTTAAGGAAGAAAGGAAAGCACAGGAAGCAGGGTTTGACAAAGTCTTAGGGTTTGTTTGTTAGTTTTTGAGACAGGGTCTTCCTATGTAGTTCAGACTGGCCTTGCACTGACTGTGTAACCCAGGCCAGTCTGGAACAGGCATCGATCCTCCTGACTCAGCCTGGAGTGCTGAGATTACCTGCATGTGTGACCATGTCCAGCAAGATTTCATTTTTAAACAAGCAAGGGGGGTAAAAAAGAAGCAGGGAAAAATTAACTGTCCATAACACTTAGATATCCAATTTATGAGTCGAAACCTCTCCTCTCCACAAGAGGTAATTGATCTTTTTCAAAAATTTTAGCTTTATTGAGCTGTATGTATGGTCAAGCTTTAAAAATCCTGGGCTTGGGGCTGGGGAAATGGCTTGGTAGAATAAGCGCTTGCCTGGCAAGCACAAGGGCCTGAGTTCAAAACTCCGGTTCCACAAAAAAAATAAAATAAAAATAAAAAAATAAAAATCCTGGGCTTGTTTTATCTGTGAATGAGAATGAAACCATACAGTTACTCTTAATAGCTAGTGCAAGTTCAAAGCCTGTCGCCCCAAGCCCCTATGAATCTTGAGTCTCCTGAGTCTGAAGTCAGGGGTATTTTGATCTTAAGTCAGTGTTGAGCTTTCTTTTCTTTCTTTCTTTCTTCCTTTCTTTCTTTCTTTCTTTCTTTCTTTCTTTCTTTCTTTCTTTCTTTCTTTTAATGCATTTGGTACAGTGTCTTACTAAGCAGCTCAGGCTCATAGTGACCCTTCTGTTTTCAGCTTCCCTAGCTCAGGGATTACAGGCATGTGCCACCATGCCTATACTCTGTTGCTGGCTTAGTGTACCCTGTGGCGGGACCAGCCCAACCTGGGATCAAACCCAGTCCCTGTGCTTGCCTAAGCAGGCACTGAATCTGCTGAGCTATCTCACCGGCACAGCATTGAGCTTTCATCATGTAAAAAAAAATAAATAAATAAAAAGCGGGGGGGTGAGGATTTTAAAGGTTGGTCAGAGGCCCGAGGCCATCACAAGATGGCTGCCAAGGTAGTGCTTCCAGTGAACCATAGTCAGCCTTTCCTAGATGGATTTGCTGAGGGAAGGTAGGGTTGAGCTTGTGACCTGGCTCAGCATCCCCAAGTGGAAGTAATGGCGCCTGAAGTATTGGACAGAAAACTCATGGGAAGCTCAGGGATGTGTATGGTCTGAGGGCCTCTGGGACAGACAGGCAGAGTGCTGGGGAGCCAAGCAGCAATCTGCCAAGAAAGCACAGGCCTCAGATCCATAGGAACAAATTTTCATCAAGCGTTTAGGTGTCTGGCACAGAGGTGGGTGTTGAGGACTGCGTGAGCCGAAGCATTTTGCACGCACATATCATTCATTAGGCAAACAGGAAGCATCCCAGGGCTCTTACAGCACTGGTGAGGTAGTGTTCAGGGTTGATTTGCCTTTCTGGCACTGAGGTGAAAAGATGGTACTGCATCATGGGATGGAGATGAGATGAGGGATATAAACCAGTTGGAAGTTGCAAACCACAAGGGGTGACAAAGTTGAATCTAGGGTTGAGTCTCTCGATTCTACATGCCTTGTGAGAATGAAAGCAGTTAACCATGGAGTCACAGTAAGGTGTAAGGTCCTCTTCTGGCCCTGGTAAGTCATTTTTCACTGACCCTGACTCCTAGTTCTATGAGAACCTAAGTGATAGGATTATAAAGTAAGTCTCTACTGTCTGCTTCCCCTTTGAATCACTGTGCAAATGTCAAACTGGTTTAGCTGCTCAGAAAAGTCAAACTCTCGCTCTCGCTGTGTAATAGACCCTAGAGCCTCGGTCTGTGCCTATTGTCATGTTCCTAAATTCTGCCTACTTACCATATTTTGTAGTTGCCTCACTGAGATAATGGTGAATTGTGGTCATTGATACCATAGCAGAAAAGGAGATATTTTGAACTGGCCAGTTAAAATTCATGACCCAGGAGAAGCCAAAATAAAAAAATAATAATGTTTATTCATTCATTTTTTTACTCCCACTCCCTAGCAAGGAATCCAAGTGGCTGGTGAAAGGGAATTCAGAGTGTATTACCTGCTAGTGGGAAAATAAATCCTACAGAGGAAAAGGCAATCATGATTTTTCTGTGTCATTGTGAGTACATTTTAGATAAGGACAACTCCCACAACCTTGTTACCTCCTGAATATAAGGGCAGAATGAGAAAGCTGGGACTTAGTTTTAAAATGCAGCCAGGTGTGGTGGCATATATCCGTAATCCCAGCATTTATCTGGAGGCTGCTGAGGCAGGAGGACTGCTGTGAGTTTGAGGCCATCCTGATCTACATAGTGAGTTCAAGACCAACTGAATTGAACAGCAAGATGCAGACACTGCCTTAAAACAAAACAAAACAAAACAAAAAAATAAAAACAAACACAAAGCTTAAAAAGCAAAACAGAACAAAATAGCATACCTTGAATAATGTCACTCCATGTTGAAGTCAATGCTGTGATTTCAGGGCTCAAAGCAACAGTAACCAGCGTGTGCCTGCTAAGATGCCACCCAAACTTTTCTTGGCTTGGAGACTCAATGGCTGAATATTGCTGGATTTTTTTTTTTTTTAACAAATATCCCAGGTGACAAAAGAAAGTACTAGGAAATGTATTATGATCCTGTTTTCTCTAACGAGTATTGTTGATTTGTTTTAAATAATTATTTTCTGATCATACAATATTTGTGAAAGCACTTCTTATAGATGGCTGAGTTACATCAGCTGTTGGTGTCTTTGACAAGTTTTCCCAAGTCAAAACAGTGGCTAATGTTTGGCCAACTCTCCTTGCATTTACACTTTCTAGATCCACTGAGTGGGACTGCACTGCCCTGGAACCGCTTCTGTATGGGAGAATCCATGCTCTGTCTCCACCAAAGTTGCCCTTAATGTTTCCTTGCTGTTTAGATTTCAGAAAAGCACTGCTTGGTACACTGGCACACGGGAAGGACTTAAATATTTGCTAATAAAATACATGAGTAAATGGATTTATTTAGGGCCTGGGAGATGGCTTAGTAGAATAAGCACTTGCCTAACAAGCAGAAGGTCCTGAGTTCAATCCCCAGTACAGCGCAAAAAAAAAAAAAAAAAAAAAAAAAAAAAAAAAAAAAAAAAAAAAAA